TATATATATATATATATAAATGATGGCTTGCCTTATTCCTAAGAGGGCTTATGGATAGGCGGAAAAGGGGTTGAAAAGGTGTTAGGAAATCCCCTGCACCTAAATCTCTCAAAGAAACTCCTCCCTTGTAATTCCGTTATTTTGATTATCATTTTCCTAACATGTACAAAATGTTTTGTAGCATGACAACCTTTTAGCAAATGTTGACAAAAAATTAAGTTACTTTGATGTTTCAATCCTGATAGCAAATTCAGATCCTGAAACCTCAGCCTATGAAATAGGCAAGTAAACTGGCAATAAGCTAAAGGGAAACTTTATTTCTGGCTCTGGGAACTGCAGGACAAACCTGTTTTGTATTGGGATAGGGGAAACATTCACTGGTGGGCTTCTGTGCTTCCACAAAGGCACTCTAAGCACCCCACACATCTGGAAGAAATAAAAGACCGAAGAGGAGGAAGAACGGAAATGTGGAAGGATTGCAGGGCAATTGCCACAAGCACTTTAGGGTCTCTGTCCCCATTAGAAGTCATGAGTATGTGGCTGTTGGGCAGAGCAGCCAGCCACTGAAAGCGCCCCAAGTCAGTGGGAAGTTATTATTCTCCTTTTCTGTCTTAGTCCACCTCAAATGTTCTACCCCATATTTCTAGCCCCTTTGTTTTACAGATAAGGAAACTGAGGCTTAAAACAATGAAGGCACCCAAAGTTCATAGAGCTGAGCAGGAGTCGGGCAGGGATTCTTGCACAGGCAGTCATATGCTAGTGCTCCACTTTGAGCCACTCTGTGTCTCAGGTTTTATTTCTTCCACTAGAGGTAGAATAAACAGTTTATCCATTATCAAGTCATTGAAGCAATCAGCTGAGAACTATATATATATATATGGGGGAGGTCCCATAGCAATGAGAGGAGTAATGGATAAAGTGCCCTCAGGCTCCCTGAAATTCTCCAGGCAGGCAGCCTGCTCATGCCTGAGAAAGGCATCTAGCTATGGCTGTGGCTTGGCTCTTATCATATGCCAAGCACTGAGTTGAGTGCTGACATGGTTTGGCTCTGTGTCCCCACTCAAATTTCACATTCAACTGTACTCCCCATGTTTTGGAAGAGGGGCCTGGTGGGAGGTTATTGAATCACAGGGGCAGACTTCCCTTTTGCTGTTCTTATGATAGTGAGTTCTCACGAGGTCTGGTTGTTTGAAAGTGTGCAGCACTTCCCCCTTCTCTCTTTCCCTCTCCTGCTCTGGTTATGTGAAGACTATGACTACTTCACCTTCACTTTCCACCGTGATTGTGAGTTTCCTAAGACTTCCCAACCATACTTCCTCTACAGCCTGCACAACTGCGAGCCAGTTAAACCTCTTTTCTTTACAAATTACCCAGCCTCAGGTGGCTCTTCCTAGCAATGTAAGAATGGAATAATACAGGTCCTTTTACGCATTATATATCTTTCCATTCTTGTAAAAGCTTTGTCAGACAAAACAATCTGTGTCATATAGCTGAGGAAGCAGGCTTATGTGGCTTGCCCGAGGTCACATAGCTAGTCCTTGACAGAACTGAGAACAGAACCCATGTCACTTGATTCCTAGCCTCAAGCTTTTTGCACTGCCCTGTACCATCCTCTAGGGCTTTGGTGATTTCAGGTCACCCTGTGACTCTGTTGGATGACAGCCTTCTGAAATAAGAGCACATTGATCTCTGGATTTCCTGAGATGGGAATTAGGAGGATGCTTCCTATTGATTCTATTGCTCTACTGTTTCTCCTTGAAGTTGTACAGAATTCCCTTTCCATCAAGCTTTCTTTACAAATAGGGCTTGGGAAAGGCTGGAGGGATGTTTATCTGTCAGGCAGATTTCTCTCTCCTACAGAAATGTTAACCTTTCCACAGACTGCTGCATCTTTCTTAAAAACTTGTAGTAAACCACAAGATGTCTTCTGGGACCAGACTGATGGAGGAGGCACCTGCAAGCATTCTTCAGTCAGACACCAGTTCAGGCTACATGTAGCTCAAGATCTTCTATCTAGCTCGGGAGACAGCAACATATTCCTGAGATTATTCTGCCTTTTGGAGACATGTCTGCTTGTATTCAAATGAGCTGAGAGTAAGCACATAACAACTAATATCCAGCATGCAATAAGAACAGGTCCTAATTACCACTAAACGTGCCAATGTTAAGTATTTCCTTTGTTTTTTCAGTTAGCAACAACTCTGAAAGATCATAAGCATTTTATCTCTACTGTTTTCTTTTAATTTTGTGTCTACTGTCTTTGTTAATACTGTAGGTGGCAACAATTATGGAAGGTACATTTATACGTTTCTATGTTCTTCCTAATTTTTGATGCAATTACATTTAGTAAGGGCTCCGAAAATATTTAGCAGTTAAAAAAATTACTAACTAAATAATTAGCAAGCCTAGTATTATTAAGTAGAATTCTGAAAATTCTGCGAGAGTCTCTTAAGGCCTGACTACATCCAGGTGATCACGAACCTAGACAAACTATGATGAAATGTTTAGGCTTTATTTTCTCACTTTGCACCATATAGAACATAGCCACAGCAAGAGGAAAGTTGGATCATTTTTGAAAATCATTTGAACCACTATTTGTGCTTTAGAAAAATGAAGATGGGGGGGGAGTAAGCTTTGCCTGAATTATCAACATTGCCTATTTTTGGAAAATTCATTATCCAGATAATTAACTATAAACTTTTCTGATTTTATAGATTCTATGTCATGAAATCAAACATTCAATTTTATTTTTCTAAACAATTATTTGCCATCCCATTAAAATATGTTTAATTGACTAATCAACTTCTGTCTGATATTTTACCCTGTATTAATATAAATCCATCCATTCCTTCCTTCATTCATCAGACGCTTATCAAGAAATAAAAATAAGTGAGGAATCAAGCCAGGCAGTGGAAACACAAAGACGTGACATAGTTTTGCACTTGAGAAACTCAGAATTGAACCCTAATGTAGGTAGATGTGTCATAATATTATATATCTGGAAGGAGGCATGGGCATGCACAGGGTTAAAGAAGAGGAAAGCAGTGGAGGGAGGGGCACAGCATTGCTTAGAGAGGGGATAGTTAGAAATGCAAAGGCCCAGAGGAAGGAGGACATGGATTGTGAAAGTAGGAAGAAGAGTTGGAAAGTACTTAGATGCTTCTTCCAAGGCTCATTTTCACTTCACTCCTCCCCTACACAGAAACTTCTCTAGATCTACCTGGATATTTATTTCTTCACTACTAGCATCTAAGTAGTAGTAGAAGCTAAGTACTAGCTTAGTAGCTTCTTAATAGTAGCTTCTACTACTACTTAGATCTAGTAGTGAAGAAATAGGTATACGGGTAGATCTGGAGAAGTTTCTATGTAGTGGGAAGGTTGAAGTAAGAGTGAGAAAATCCCACTTTAGAGTCCTAAAGTTACCTATTCATCACCCTGGTCAATTATTTTTTTCTTTATTTATAAAAAAAGATAATTAATAAACTGCATCTTATAAGCAAGTTTTGTGTGCTTCTTTTTCAGAAAGTCAAATTTTACATCTGGTAACTCAAATGCCTGAAGAGTTCATCTTGGAAGTGATCATGAAAGATTATGAAAGAGCCGGGATATTTGAGGGTGATGCCTGATTATAAGCAAAGTCCTTTGTTATGCTCATAGAAAGGAGATTTGCTTGGACATTAGAAAAAAGGAAAAGAAAGAAAATCTCATAAGCAAAGGGATAAAACTAATGTGATAATAACAGTGTGTTTATTAGCTCTTGAAACAGAGAAACAAATGACAATAAAAACCATCTGAAAGAATTTTACATTTTCTAGAGTCTTGAAACTTTGAGGCTCTTGCTTATTTTAAGGAAACTAAAATAGGGCTGCCCCAACAGAAGAAACTCATGCCTGCCTTTTTGCAAGCAGTAAAAATTCTCTGGTGTCTGAGCCTGAAAATGTCATCAAACTGGGTGGTGTTATTATAACAGTTCTATACTTTTTCTAGGCTAGAGCTTTTTTTCTTCTTTTTCTTTTATTATTGTTGCTATTGTTTGTGAATAACAGCAAGTAAATACAATTATGTGCTTTGAATTGTCTCCCTAAAATTTATATGTTGAAACCCTAAGCCCTAGTACTTTAGAATACAAGTGTATTTGCAGATGGGGCATTTAGAAAGGTGATCAACATAATGAAGCCATTAAGATGGGCCCTAATGCAATCCGATCAGTACCCATATAAGAAGGGAAGAGATACCAGGAATGTGCATAGAGAAAAGGCCATGAGAGAACGCAAGGGAGAAGGCCGCCAGCTATGAGCTAAGGAGAGAGGCCTCAGAAGAAACCAGACCTGCCAACACCTTGATCTTGGAATTCCAACATCCAGAACTTGAGAAAATAAATTTCTGTTATTCAGTTCATCCAGTCCGTGGTAGTCTTCTATGGCAGCTCTAGAAAACTCATACTCGAGCCATGCCACAAAGACTAATATTTCCATCTGTTCCAAATAACAGCAAGAATTGAGAGGCAGACTATTTTAAGAGACCATTTCAGACATTTTTCTGTGATTGTCAATGAAAATAGTCAAACTCTGTAAAATATTTTAAGAAATGTATTCTGAGCCAAATATGAGTAACCATGGGCCCATGACACAGCCCTTAGGGGTTCCTAAGAACATGTGTCCAAGCTTGGTTTTATATATTTCAGGGAGGCATGAGACATCCATCAAGTACACTTAAGAAATACACTGGCTTTGTTCAGAAAGGCGGGGCATCTCAAAGCAGGGGTTTCCAGGCTATAGGTAAATTTAAACATCTTCTGGTTGACAATTGTTTGAGTTTGTATAAAGACCTGGGATTGATAGAAAGGAATGTTCAGGTTAAGATTAAGGTTGTGGAGAACAAGTTTTATTGTGTAGAGGAAGCTCTCAGATAGCAGACTTCAGAGAGAGAGAGAGAAAGAAAGAGAGAGAGAGTGCAGGTTGTAAAATGTTTCTTATCAGACCTAAAAGGGTGTCTCACTCTTAGTTGATTATCTCCTGGATCTGGAAAGGAAGGAAGGAAAATAAAGGGATGTGGAATTCTCTATAGAATGTGCATTTTTCCCATAAAAGACTTTGCAGTGCATTTCAAGGTATGGCAAAGAAATATATTTTGGGGTTAAATATTTCTATTTTCTTTCTTAACTCATAATCTTATGCCATGGTCAGATTGGAAAGTAAGCCATGATATATAGGGTTAAATAAAACCCATCTGATGAGAATTTTATGGTTTTACTCTCTAGACCCCTGGGATAGGAATGTGGGCAAGATAAAAAAAATCAGAGCTTAGTTCTCACTTTCCTGCCTCTAGGAAGAGATGGACTTTGTAAGCTAATATTCCTAAACTGCTGTACCACAAGGCACTGTCCATTTGATCTAAGGAGATTATTTAGATGAGTAATTTCTATGGAAGAAAACAGAAACAACTGGATCTTTCTCCGTACCATTATATTTGATACTTTATAATAATCACATGTGAATACAGCAAAAGCTAGCCTTTCTAGCCCTAAATGAGAAAATAAAAGTTACTAGTAGATGTTATCACTATCAATCATCTAAATAAAAGCTGCTAGTAGATGTTATCACTATCAGTCATCTAAAATATAAAGGAAGGAATCAGAATGGTCCTGCCATTTCTGGGAAAATAACTTTTTTTTTCCTCTCTATCTATCCCTCCTGAGGCTGGAAACCTTATCAGCTCAGGCATTTTAAACAAAAGAACAAACTCTCTGTAGCAAAAGGGTGAAAAACCACGTCTGGAAATAGATGTTCTTACTTGATATTATTATGAGTAGGAAATAAAGAGGTCCTGTTCTTTATTGATTTCTGTCTCTTCATAGTATGCTCTAAATGTTGTGATAAAGAGCCAATTCATTAATTTAGACCTGGCACAAAGAAGGACATCACCACCAATCCCAGCCAAAGATCCAAAACAATTAGAAGGTGTAATCACTCACTGATGCCGAGGAGGGGTAGAGTAGCATGGTGCCTGCAAAAGAAAGGAGGAATTTTGAGATTGCTACTGTGAAGAAAAAGAGATGGGGCCAGGAAATAAGTGAAAAGAATGTCCAAAGATATAGAGGGAGTGACTGAAGTTGGGAGCAAATTAGTAGTAATCTTGAGCCAAACTTAAGACTTTTTCATACCAGCTCCCTTCTTGCACCACCCAGCTCCAAGCAATCGTGAAGACCTCCCATTTCTCACTCTGTGACAGCCCCCAAGTGTGTCCTCTTCTTTGTTCTCCTGATGCAACTCTCTAATTCAGGTAATCTACTCTCTAGCTTGGAGGCAGTGATGGGTGGAGTGGAATGGAGCATAGATAGACCCTGGCATCAGATAGAGTTTCTATCCCAACTCTAACTCATACCAGTATTGTGACCTTGGGCAAGTTATGTAAACTCCCTATTGCTATTTTTTTCTTGTCTGTGCCATTAGGATAATTCCCAGTGCATTCTATGTTATAGCATAATTATAAAGATTAAATGAGAACATGCAAGTAAAATGCTTGAAATATAGTTAAGAGTATACTATTGGCCATTGCTAGCCATCTATGTTGAAAAACAGATAACAAGAAAACCCAAGGCATTCTTCCCTCAAACACTGCCCTTTTTCAAACTCAGTAAGAATGAGTTTTCTAAGATACGAATTATTTAGTCACTTTTCTGCTCAAAACTATTACTTGTCTCACTATTACCATCAACATAAATAACTCTTTGGCAGCCTAATTTAAATCCTTCTTGATCTCACGCAAGCTTATGTCTCTAGTGTGATCTTTTCCCATTTTACTTTGTCCCCCAAACCCCCTACAGTGTATGTTAAAGCCATGCTAACCCATTTGGTCTGTAAAAGCTCTTATTTTCTGCTAATGTTTGGAGTTTGGCACCAGCTGGAGGAATCTTTCTCTGACCTCAAAATTAAGGCCCACTTTCCCTCTTAGTCACTGACATCCACAACTTCTCCTCTCTTTGCATGTTCCACATGACTAAATTGTAGTTGTGTGTCTAGTTTCCTGTTTTCTTAACTGCAATGTCAACTTCAGGAGGTCTAGAACCAAGAAGTCTAATATTCTTAGGCACTGGCACCTAGGAGCTCCCCTGATAGCTATTTATAGTGAATACTTATAATTTTATGTTGCCTTGGCATTCATTTTAGTACACATAGGGTTAACAGTGTCACACCAGAAGCTCTCTTTCTCCTCCTAGTTTCTTCTTGTATTCCATCCAGATGTGATGTCTTCCCTATAAAATCACCTCCTAGTATCCACTTTTCCATGGGAGAAATAGATAACAATCAACCAGGCTCACCTCACTGAGTCCCATGCCCCACATGGAATGTGCTCAGAGGCTGTGGTGATCACTCATAAGTTATAACATGAATGTATGGGACTCTTGTCTGCTTGCTCTAAATCCACCAATGAGAAATCCCCAAAAGAAAACTGTTTGAGCCATACCCTGGTCCCCAGTAAAGGCCTTGACCCACAGGTCCATCTCTCTCTCTCTCTCTCTCTCTCTCTGGCTGCCCACCTGCTGGCTGAGCCTGGTACCCCCACAACCTTCTCATCAGTGCTCATTGGTGCTGCTCTTCTCTGGGACCTATGAGTAATACACTGCTTCTGCTATTTCATGTGTTTTGTTGTGCCACTTCCACTGTGTCTCATCCGACCAACACATCTGAACCTAACTATTCCCCAGTCAGTTCTCCTAGAGAATGGCTGTCTTTGTAGGAATAAATTGGACACAGATCAGACAAGAACGCAAGCAGGTGGCAGTGTAAATAAGTTTCCTGTGAGAGGGATATCTGGTCACAGGTTGGACATGTAGGCATTAGGTTTTCCACTAGAACAAAGAAGTATCCCACAAAAGGCACACTGTAAACACCCACAGCCACCTTCCCAAGAGCACTGTCAGGCAGGGCTGGAGTTTACAGCCACTCTCCTGAGACAGACCTTGCAACCAAATTAAAAGAAAAATATGACATTATTAGTATTAGGAGAAGTAGAAGTACAGTGTACAGAACCATTAATCAGGGACAATAAAGACAAAATATTGCCCAGGACCAAGGTATTCTTGAAAATTTAATGACATACAACTAAATCTCAATAAATGATATTGACATATCTCAAAAAAGAAAGCCTCAAGCGAGAGGGGATGTTTGGTACAGAACATGGACAAAGTAGTCAGAGAAGCTAAGTACATGCTGTCCAAGAGTAACGACAGTAATGGTTACTGTGACTTGCAAACCTAAATACAGAGACAGGTCTCACTCTACAATGGAGATGAATGAATTAGGCTATTAAGATGCCCAGATAATTTTTGGGGGGATCTGATATTATGTTCATCGTGCCCGTTCCCAACCTATATTTGATCCTCCATTTAGATTTGCCAAGGCTATGTATGGATAGGTTAGCAGACTTTCTAGCTGGCTCTTTACTTCTGTTGCTTACAGCAAATTTAAAAAAAAAAAAAAAAAAAAAAAAAAAAAGCTGGGCCAAGCCCAGGGGCTCACATCTGTTATCCCAGCACTTTGGGAGGCCGAGGCAGGTGGATTGCCTGAGGTTGGTCAGGAGTGCGAGACCAGCCTGGCTAACATGGTGAAACCCCATCTCTACTAAAAATACAAAGATTAGCCAGGTGTGGTGGTGCATGCTTGTAGCCCCACCTACTTGGGAGGCTAAGGCAGGAGAATCACTTGAACCATGGGAGGTGGAGGTTGCAGTGAGCCGAGATTGTGTCACTGCACTCCAGCCTGGGTGACAGCAAGACTCCATCTCAAAAAAACAAAAACAAAAATAACCATGGTAGATAGTATTGATATGAATCTATTGTGGGCTTGTTTACAAAAAGACTATCTCTGAAGAAGTGATCAACTCTGCATGCCAGGCAAAAATGACCTTTATAGATCTGCCAAATTAAAATAAAACCTTGGAAATTTGTGACCACACTTAAGTATTGCCCCTCTTGAAGGCCTCTGAGAATTGCCAGCCACCACTTCTGGTGGTTTGTCTGTGGTCTTGCACTCTGTAGTCTTGTTCTTTTATTTAATGGACATGATGGCCCCATTATCTACTGCTATCCACTGTATAACCACACAATTAATTAATAAAACAGGAATAAATTTTTCTGAACTATGTTTTAGTCAATGCCTATTAAAGTGGCAAAATTACTTCTTCTAAGAGTCTTAACGCTTCTTAAGTGTAATTAACTTTACACCTCCAGCATTATTTTTTCTGTTTGGACAGTAAGAAAGAATTATATTGTTATTATGCATTTATTCAGAGAAAGCTTAAAAATAAGTTTCAAAGGTTTATTTATTTCTGCTTAAAGTAATAACTTGTAAATTTGTCTGACAGAAAAACAGACTGCAAAACAAAGTTATTTTTCTGAAGATTTATGTGCTAGCAACAAGTAGGCAGTAATTCAATACGTTGTGGGGAAAACCCCTAGTGCGTGCTTTCATTAATTACTGCCTATTCCGGTCCATCTTTTAGGAATTCCTTTCTTGCAGGTCATCTGTGTTGATCCACCCTTTCTGTTCAAAATGACCGAGGCTAAAAATAGGACCACAAAGTTGGTAATTCCTATAGCAAGATACTGTTTGAGGACGTGTTCCACATTTTGAAACATAGATCACAACAGTAGTCCCTATACCTCTCCTTATTGTTCTCATGTGTAAGCTAGCATTAGAATAAGCTGGAAAGTTTAGAAAATTCACGTGTCGGGATCCCACTCTCAAAACTTCTGATTTAGTAGATCTGAGGTGAAGCTGGAAAACTAGTATTTCTGACAAATTCCGAGGTGACTTTGATGTTTCTGTTCTGGGAACCAAACTTGGGGCTTTTACTTTTCATTTCAGATGGAAAGAAATTTGGTGAAAGGCCGGAAACTTCTTAGACGCTTGCTCTTCATTCTGGCAAGTTTCTGGGTTCATTGCATCCTTGGAAGTGAAACTACCCATAACTGAATTGATATGCCAAAACCCCAAAGAGGCTGAGAGGTTTCAGGTGTGCATGTTAGCCACAGTCATTTCATTTTTAGCTATGTTTATATCCTACAAAATGTGCTTACATCCTACAAAATGGCTTACACTGTCTCCAGGTTTCCTTGGAGGCTTCATCTGAATCTATTCAGTAAGCAGTGCTGCCACCTTCTGATCTTCAACTAAAAATGTGTATTAAAAGTTTTGCTTTTGATTGAATGCATTATGTACTCTGCAAGTATTTATTTTGAAATTCTTTTCTTCATGAATTCCTATTCTCCCTTGGACCTCTTATTTCAAATGCCACTTATTGTTTCTTGTTAGCACATTTCTATACAAAGCCCTTGTACTCTAACCACAGTTGCTCAGCATTGTATAAACTCTGTCCCTGTTAAACCTCTCTCCTTTTATGGGTCTGGAATCATGCACCAAAGAAAAATATCAAGATTACAAAATTTCTTGTGAGTGCGTTGGTTTTCAACCCCTATTTCAAAAGAGACCTCCAAACTCTAGTGCAGAGAGTCATTTTGCAAAACTCCTTTTAAAGCATTTGTTTTAGTTATTCACTGCCACTTAACAGATTTTGCCTCAAGCGCCCTCCCATATGTGTAATTTTACATAATCCAACTATACTAAATGAAACATTATATATGTATTTTTCTTCAGATGGAATAACAGACTATTAGAGCTCATGGGAGGTAGAGAGAATGTAATCTAATCCAATTCTGTAATTTTATCCTGTAGAGCAGGGTCAAATGCTGGTTCAAAATCTTAAATCTTACTTATTGGCCGGGAACGGTGGCTCACACCTGTAATCCCAGCACTTTGGGAGGCCAAGGTGGGTGGATCACAAGGTCAGAATATCGAGACCATCTGGCCAACATAGTGAAACCCCATCTCTACTAAAAATACAGAATTAGCTGGGCATGGTGGCAGGTGCCTGTAGTCCCACCTACTCAGGAGGCTGAGGCAGCAGAATCGCTAGAACCCAGCAGGTGGAGATTGCAGTGAGCCGAGATTGTGCCACCGCACTTCAGCCTGGCGACAGAGTGAGACTCCATCTCAAAAAAAAAAAAAAAAAATCTTACTTATCTAGTGAACCCTCTTCAAATGCAGTCCACTTCTCGGGGCAGACCTGGCCTACAGAAGTCCAAAGTCCATCTCTGAGTCATTTATGTGTTCGAGATAATGGGACAGACACTATGAATGACCAACATGGTTCATGTACCTACTCCTGTGACCTAGGGTCAAGGTTTTTAACCAGATGGTGGGAAAGTCATGCCTTTACAAACACCTGAGGCTCAGAAAAATGTCAATCTCCCAGGGTTACACAACCAGAAAAAGGCACTGTTGGGCCCAGACTAGGGTGTGACTCCGAAACCTTGGAGCTCTCAACAAGTCTCCACTGTCCCAAGTTAGGAGTAGGCAGGGCATCTTGATCTGTACCAGAAAGTGCTGGTTTTATCCATCTTCTACTCCTGGTTCTTCCCATAGAATAAGGAGGCTATGATTCTTCTCCCTGCCTGCCTCCCACTTTATCGCCCTTCTACCTTAGTGGTCTGTTAGCCAAGAAGTCTACCAAGACCTATTTTGAAGCTAAGACTATTCTACACCGTTTTAAGACTTTCAAGTAGATGGGGAAGAGAAGAAGGAAAAGCTGAAGATGAAAGGCCGATTATTATTTACACAGTTGCCACTTCTCTATTAGCACAAATGAGCACTTTGATCATGCGAATATTAATCTCTGTGTCTCAGTTTCCCCATCCAAAGTTGGGCATTAAGCCTCTTAGGATTGTTGTGATAATTAAATGAGGGTTTTTAAGTGAAGTGCTGAGCAGTGATAGACAGATAATAGACATTGAATAAGTAGTGACTCTCACTGCAATTATTTTCATTATTAGCATTATCACCTCAAAAAAGCTGTTCAGGGGCTGGCAAATTCTATCTGCGAAAAACCACTTCTTTTCTCTATTTACAGGCACTCTTTACTACACAAAATACACAACAATTTGAACTGAAAAAGCTTGTTGAATTTGTGCAGACATTGGGGAAAAATGTGTTGATTTTCCTAAGAGTGAATATTTGATTGAAATCATCCATTAGGGAAAAGTACCTTAAAACAAATGCCCCAAGTCCGTCTGCAAAACCAACAGAGCCCAGTGGTTTGGGCAACATGTTGGCACAGGAACAGGCCTGACACTTTAACTTACCCCAGGGTTCCTTTTATTTTTATCCTTTAAAAACAACCTTCTGGATCATACATGACATCCAGTCCTGCTTTATTAACTAGAAACTAAATGAGCATTGGAGAAATTTAATTGAAAGTGATATTCAGAATGTTAATAAGCCCCTGGTCAGGAGAGAGATTGATGTTCCCAGCTGCAAACCAGCCTAGAGGAAGAGTCTCTGAAGACCTTGTCACCAGAGGCACGCTGAGCTTCTGTGTGCTGCTGCTGTCCTCACAGGCTCACTTCCATTGCTCTGCCAGCCATCGCCTGCTCCCAGAATTCTTGCTTAATAATTGTTCCCCAGAGAAGCCCCAAACCACTGGCTCAACAGCAAATCAAGCACCAGGCCAACAGCACACTGTTGCTATCAGAAGTGAAAAAGAAATAGCTTCTCTGAGTGAGATTTTAAGGAAATGAAAAGGATGATGATAGAAAAATTGGGATCAAAATATTTGAATTTATTCTTTTTCCATGCAGAAAACCTAGAGAGCCATGTGTATCCTCCTCTGCTCTGAGAAATAATGTCCTTCTGAAAACATGCATGAAGACAGACTATGCATAATTCAAACCATATTTATATATGTTAAAGAGAATTTCCATTCCTAGAATTTAATATTAAAAATTCTAATAATACTTTGATCTTTGAGTACAACTTTTTATGAAATATTTCCAGGAAAAACTGAGCATATTCTTGAATTTTTCTTTTTTCTGCACAATTCAAAACACAGGTGTCCTGCTTAAATGGCATTCAGTTGATGTTAAAACATTACTATTGACATACCCAGTGATTTCCATGATTATTTCTGACAGATATAGGTTTCAGAAGGTTTATTTTCTATTTTTCCATAACTGAAATAACCTTTTAAAGAAAAAACAGCAAAGTGAAATTTTTCAGTAGTTACGGAAACAAATATTTCAGTGCAAAAATGAATATAATGAAATTCAACTACCTATGTAAGTGGAGCGCCACCAGGTCCAACTTAAAATGTTTATCAGTGGCTTTTCGGAAACCTAGGTTTCTTCTAGAAAAGAAGTGTTAAATGTGTCATTCCACAACAAATAAAAGTGTGAATTTTACAATAAGTGAAGAAAGTCAGTAAAACCATTCCTCATTGCTATTTACCTTGGGGACAGGGGGCACTGAACATCAATTTGAGATCACTGGTTCATCTGAGCCATATGGCTGGCAAGTTTAGCTCTTCCCAACTGAATTATAGAAGAATTTTTACTGAAATCCCTCCGTTCAATTATTCTTACACATTGGGTCTCTAAAATGTTTTTGGCTTGTCATTTCAGTTTAGAAGATGCGGGGAAGTGTAATATACTAGTTACTAGTTGTGAGCACATACTCACGGGAAGACTCAATGACTGGCATTGGACCAATCTCTTCTCCAACACTTATTAGCCTGGCAAATAAACTCTGAAAATGGTTTCTTCTTCTGTAAAAGAGACATAATCAGGATAATCACATCTACTCTAGAGGACTATTTGATAAATGAAGTCATGTCTATGAAAAGATCTATTGCAGTTTGTCTGGAACATAGTAATGCTCAGTAAAAATTATTCATCTTCATCATCATTCTATGAAAAGCTTTGGATGCAATGGGAGAAGCTCTGAGCATCTTCTAAAGATGTGGAGCTACTGAAGGAGAATTTGCATCATCAGATGTTGTCTTTGAAATCTGAAACCTTTGGGGAAGATGGATCTAAGTGAGCCGAGGCTGAAGGTAGGAAGATCATCTAAGGAACTATTATACTAATTTGAGTAGAAGACAGCTTGATGCAGAGCAGCGGTGCTGGGGGATGGAAAGTGGTGAAAAATGGATTCAAGAAGCATGTCAGACTCAAAATTGGAAGAACATGGTAAAAGTCTGAATATGCATAGTGCAGTGGATGGAGAGGAGTTCGAAATTGCTTATGTCAGCCTAAAGAAAGAAGCAAAGGTATCAAATATAATGTGTCTATAAAGCATAGACTGATTGTCCACACCTTTGCTAATGGAGGCTAGGAGGTGTGATGATCATAAATCCCACCCAAATGTGGGGTGGGGTTTTAAAGGAATAGCTTACTTGAGCCAAAGTGAGGACAACTGGCTGGGATACATTTCCAAGTTGCCGTGGGAAATGCTGCGTTTGGCTTGTAACAAGCAGGTTTTCAAAGGTAAAAAGGAACAAAGAGTGGGCTGATACAAAGTTGTTTGGCAGGAATTTTCACTGATTTACAAATGTGATCTGAGAAATCAAAATAGATGATCCTTTATCAACTAAGACAGGCCCCAAGGTTAAGAAAATAAATATTACTTATGGGCCCAGAGTTTAGGGCTCGGCTATCATGACAGCTTCCTAAATTCCTACAGCTTCAAAAAAAAAAACACACAGTTTTGCTAAACTTCCTACAATAAGAGCTATCAGGCAAACTGTCACTTGTTTCTACCTCTTATTTATAACCAAGATCACTGCAAATCTGATTGGACAGGGGAGTGGCCTTACAAACATTCTTTACTTTTAAGCAACTCCAGACCTTAATCCAGACCTTTTTGCCCTTAACTATAGGACACAAAGACAGTTTGTGTTCAGCCAGCTTTTAGAGGCTGCACACAAACTGCCTTTGCGTCCTATAGTTCACCTTTGATGTAAAGAGCCAAATTCCACCTTGTTTTAGCCCCCAAACTCTACCTCAAAGTGAACATGGGATGTGTGTTACATATATGTTTACCCCTTGTACATGTGCTTGACTCTCCTCATATATATGTATAGCTTTCCCCCCAAACCTGCTGAGTATGTATGACTCTATTGTGTTATACAGATCCTGTGAGATATAAAAATCATCCTGTCTTTTCCTTCTTTGAAAAGAGAGCACCTTATGTACATGCCAGAGACTGTCTCTTCCTGGTTTACAAACTGGTATTGCCAATAAAGCTCTCCTTTCTACTATTTAGCCATCCTGGAGATCTTTTGGACAATACAGAGATAACATTGAGTAATGATTGATTATACATTGTTGAACTATAGGTTACGAGTTATGGTGTCCAGTGTGTGGCCTTTTATGTCCACTTGGCATCAGTTAATACACAGTCTGTGGAGCAAGAGGCTTCAAGAGGTAATCGTTTGGCATAGAGGGGAAGTAAGATGTGACTGCTGTCACATTTTAATGCCTCTCTGGGCCTGATAATTTAAAGGGGCTCACATTTCTTAGATAAAAACTGTCTTTTCTTATTTCGCTTCCAACATCAGTGACTTGGTAGAAATAGAGACATCCATCAACCCATTTAAAAAATATATTTTCTTTTCCTCATGTCTCATGACCAAGATCCCATTATAATGCCCAGATTCATTACTTTTGTTGGGCCTATCCTTTTAGATGGGTGTGCAGAGGAGGGAATTACCTATAGGCTAAAGTCTATGACATCTAGTGTTCAAATTATTACCATTATTGTTGCGTTGAGTTTAGCTGTTAGCAATTTATTTATTTAGACATGACATATAAGTCATGAATATTTACTATAATGTAAATTTTCTTTCTGAGGGTTTCTAAATTCCTTGTCAAAGAAGATGGTGAACTGAACAAAGGAAAGGGCAGTTTAAGAAAAAAGAAAGCACTAAAGAGAGTAGAGGGTAGAAATAAAGCAAGATTGGGTCCTTCTTCACTGCTAGGCTCAATAAGGAACTGATCATTGTCCGATAAGCCCCAATGACGGCTGCTATCAAATACGAAAATAGATTGGTGTGCTTCAGTCCTTTCTGATTAACTTTCTCTGAGCTAATGAACTCTTTATTCTTCTTACTTTTTATTATAGAGAAGTGAGGGTTGAACTCAGCCCAAAATTCCCTGAACTGATTGACAGAAGTCTTGCCTAACCTTGGTTCACAAAGAGAAGTTAATGTAGTTTGTCTTTGGAACTGCTGTACATCTTTCCAATGACTACCATCTCCTTACTTGAGCCTTTCTCTTAACTCTCTTCCTTTGAATATCCAGCAATACTTATTCATTCTCAATATGGTGCTGACTTACAAGGCTAAACATTTATGAGGAATTTGTATTTTAACAGAGTTTTCATGAAACTGAAAGCACTTCAAGTCCAAAGGAATCAAGCTTAGAAGCATAGACTGATTATCTCTACTGTTCATACCTTTCCTAATGGAGGCTAGGAGGTTTGATGATCATAAACCCCACCCAAATGTGAGAAACCAGCTAATACTAAACTAATTGGACAGGGTTAGGGAATGTCTCCTCCAGAAAGACTTGTCTGACTTCCCACCTCCATCTCATGAATGTGCACAGGAATAATCCCACCCTTGATAGCTTAAGTGCCCATGTCTGAGTTCCACTGACAACTTTGCTTATCTTCACTATAGTGTTTAACAAGCTCACTCATAGGCGGGTGTTAAACAATGAGAACACATGGACACGGAGAGGAGCACTACACGCTGGGGTCTGTTGGGAGGAAATAGGGGAGGGACAGCGGAGGGTGGGGAGTTGGGAGAGATAGCCTGGGGAGAAATGCCACATATAGGTGAAGGGGAGGGAGTCAGCAAATCACACTGCCACGTGCGTACCTATGCAACAATCTTGCACGTTCTTCACATGTACCCCAAAACCTAAAATGCAATTAAAAAAAAAAAACAAAACAAGCTGGACTGAAATTGGTCATTTCTTTGTTGTTTTTTTTTACCCAATTTTCATCCCCTTGAGGGCAGGAACTGTCTTGTTAATCTCTGTGTACCTGATGGCCAACACAACATCGTACCTAATGAAAAGAGGGCTTTACAGGTGGGAATAGTCTACTGACTGGTTAAGACCTGAGTTTCTCTAATGGTTTGGATACTATTAAACAATCAAAAAATCTTTAGATTCTATAGAACTCCTCTTTAAAAAAGAATGATATTTTCAATATCTACTCCTCAGATCTCCTCTACCCAAAACTCACCTGAGAAAAATCTGTAAAAAGCACGAGGCCAATGGAAGACATTTTAATCATCATTCTTGATAAAAGTAGTGTATTGCTGGCCAGGTGTGGTGGCTCACGCCTATAATCCCAGCACTTTGGGAGGCCAAGGAGAGCGGTTCATAAGTCAGGAAATCCAGACCACCCTGGCTAACACAGTGAAACCCCGTCTCTAATAAAACTACAAAAAATTATCTGGGTGTGGTGGCAGGCACCTGTAATCCCAGCTACTCAGGAGGCTGAGGCAGGAGAATCACTTGAACCTGGAAGGCAGAGGTTGCAGTGAGCTGAGATCACGCCACTGCACTCTAGCCTGGGTGACAGAGCAAGATTCCATCTCAAAAATAAATAAATAAATAAAATAGTGTAGTGCTAAGTCTAGGGAAAAATTATAAATAGATAATTTATAAGAATTGCCATTTTATTTAGAAGAGAACTATAAATTTTCTTCTTGGCTTCCCCTCTCCATATTCAGGGTCTTTATGACATCTTTACTCCTATAATTCCCTCTATCCAGGCCTTTCCCTTGGTCAGTACCACCTATAATCTTCCCTTACCTCCCTCATATAACATAAATGAGAAAACTGGCATTTGTCGCTAGTTATGGAGCCAAGCCTTATTCTGGGTCCTTTACATAAACTGTCTTGTTTTATTTTCTCAACGACACCATAATGTACTTGCTATTAACTCATTCTACAAAGAAGGGAGCTGAAGTTTACAGAGTAACTTGCCAAAAGTTGCCCAGATAAGGAAGTGACAGATTCAGAACTACAGTCTTAAGTTGTCTGGATGCAAATCATAAAATATTCCCACCAACCAGCTATTATTTTCTAAGCTGGGCTTTCAAAGGCGATATTTTGATCTGTGAATATCATGTAATACTGAGTGTGAAGGATCTAGCGGATTCTTTTCTATCAAGACCATAATAATGTGTGCATTATTACAGAAGTATGCCTGCAAGTCATGGCAGTGACTCTGAGGCAGGCACTTTTGGGCAGGGCTGATCTGCAGAATCAGGAAATTAGCTAAGGACTGAGAGGTAAGGTTCACAATTGAATGATGAAGAGAAGCAGGTCAAGAAGAATGAGAGCAGAGCTAACAGACTTGCTAAATCAGTTATGCTTCTTTTCACCCTCAAAATTGTGCTTTTGAATACTGGCGAAACAAGGAGAAAAGTTTATTCAAATCTTCCCACTGAAAAGGATAAAGATTTGCACATAGCCAGATTAAAAATTAAAATTGACGTCACTCCAAATGCTTAATTCAGAAATAGCAAGATCTCTTTTGGAAGCTGTCAACTTTGACAACATATTTTGTTTATAAGGATGCAATGGGAAGGCCCATGCAATGAGTGTTTCAAAGCACCCTTTCAGCAATCTGCAAGCTAAGCAGGGCAGGCATTAAGAAGATTATAGAATGAATGCACACCCTAAAAGAGTCTTTGGAGGCAATGGAGTCCAATTTCTTCATTTACATACACGAAGAAGTCAGAGCACAAGAAAAAGCAGTGACTTCTTTATCTAGGCACTGCAAATCAGTGTAGTCAGGGTAGGAAATGTTCCTCTGTGTAACCTATAAACTCCAATAAATGGTAGCTTAGCCCTTAAAAGTGTTTCTTGCTAATGCAAAGTCTGCTGCATTTTGGGTAGTTTTCCAGGGCAGCTCTTTTCCAAGACATGAGTTTATAAAGCTTTGGAGTTTCCATCTTGCAGCTTCGTCATCTCTACATATGCCTTTCAGAATCACTGTGATAGGCAAAGAATGCTAATGGGTTGCCAGGCCAGTCATAGCTGCAGCTCAAAAATGACATGCATAAATTCTGCTCCAGTCTACCTGCCAGAAGTGTAATATGATCCTGATTAAGGGTACGAGAAATGCATATTTCATGTGTCCAGAAAGTAGAGGAGAACCAGATATGGGTGAGCACCAGTCATTTCTACCACGGAAGTAGATCTAAAACCCAGGTTTCCTGGTACTCAGACAATTGTTCTTTCCACAGCTCATATTCCCTGAGCATTGTTTGTAATGCATGGTGGAAATTGCAGAAGACAAATTGAAGATGTCAGAAAACTCAAATGTTTATCTTAACTCTAAATATTTTTTTGTTTCCAATAATTTTAGGAAAATAAGTTTTATTTAGCTTCATTCCTTCCAAATATAACTGACGACCTTAAGAAGAATTGTCAGATTTCTAGGGGATGTCATCTTTATTTCCTCCTTTAACCTTAGCAATAAACTATTAAGATTGTCACTACTAGCTCTTGTTTCAATATGAATGTTTAATTTCCAAATTACAGAAAAATTAATAAGTTATCTAACTAAAAAAAACTAAAAAGACAAAATTATATTAAAGAGACCTGGAGTTCACAGAAACTCAATAGAAAGTCATCAGGAAGCCAAACTTCTGACAAAATGGAATTGGGCCTCATACAGAATGTTCAGAATTTTTGCAAGTTCTCTTTGATTTTCCCTTCCTGTCTCTCAATCTCTGTCTCTCCCAAAGCACAGAATGAAGCTGTTCTCCTAAGTTCCCTGATGTGTGTAAAGTCTTGATCTACCAAAAACAAACAAACAAACAAACAAAAACAATTGCTCTGGGTTCCTTCTCTGAGTTTTCATTAACTGATCTCAAATGAAAGGAGTCTGTCAACACACTCAACAGATTTTGTCACAAACAGTTGTCTGCTCTGCAGGCCCAATAGACTTTATGCCAGTCCATTGTATGTTCTTCAAGCCCATTGAGAGTTCCTAAAAATAATTTGCTAACACCTTTAAATGATCTATACTTCCTCATCTCCTTCTTCTAAGAAGAAAAATATATAACCATTTGTACCCCATTGTGTGGTGGGATAATTACTCTGTGATTTTGCTCCCCATTCAAATTATCAAACTTATGTCCCTTTTCTCCTTTTAATATATCTTTTGTTGTTTGATTTTCAGTGAACCTTGAAAAGACAAAGGGGAAAATGGCCCCTACAATACCTTAGTTGCAAATTTCAAAATATTGTTTACCTGGCTCATTCCTGTATGCCCTATGTCAAAGGCCCTCTTGTGGATCAGTTGTCTGTAGATCAAGAATCTATCTGCATGCAAACCACTTTGGTCCTGGTTAGAGAAGTTGGAAAAGCAGTGGGCATGAACAC